TTACTCAAGAAGTTAAGCCTATTGGAAGAGTGAAGCTTTTCTGGCCGGGAGATCCCTTTTTGGGCCAGAAGAACCCTGCTTCGGATTATGAAGCACCCTCAATAGATCAGAAGACCGCTGTTTTGGAACAGCAGGCGGCAAGGAGCCTACTGTTCCAAAAGACCCCTGTTGCGGATCAGGAGGTCCTGTTTTGGGAAAGCCCTCTCGCTGGGTTGGAGCGCCTTTATGCATAAAGGACCTCCTGAGCGTTCCATCTTGGGAAAGACATGTAGCCGTGGCAAATAGATTTCTTGAATAGAGCTGCGGTGAGCATATTCCTTTCTGATCCCCAAAATTTCCCAGTCGGACACAATGATCACATCACACGAAACTCGAGCTGGAAACACTGGGCTTGTGTCCCGGAACGATGGCTGCCGCTCTGATAAGTGCCTGGTTTTCCGGGTAACAATCGCTCAAGCAATCCTGAGTTCTCATGTAGGGGAGAACCAGCCATACCGTGTCCATGTGTTAATTGTTTATCTAGTTTTGTGTTGAACACACCCGACGGATATGCCCGGCACATGAATGGGCGCATCCCTCTTCAAGTAATCAGGTCGGTGTGGACCAGATGACCTAAGCATACAGGCCTATACTAAGCAAAACAAATTGGGCCTCTAAGACATTTACTTAACGAATCTGTGAAAAACGTGCAGGTAATCTCCAATCAGTTTTTGCCATTGCCATCAAACGCCTACATAACTAACCACTTCTAACAGGAAATTTGTTGTTTTCCACAGCTTAAAAACGTATTATCATGCTTGCCTAACAAGGTTACGATTAAAGCGAGTGTTCCACATTTTTATGGGGTTTTACACTGAAATAGCCGTCTTGAAGATCATTCGGCGTAGTTCACAGCCCTTCCCTTCTTAAGACGTAAGATCCTCTTGTTTCTGAGCAACAATTCTGTGAGGATGTGCAGACTGTGTCGTGCAGACCATTTCAAGGTTACCAAGGCATCCATGACGCCATAATAACGTCACTGAAATCCTGCCATTCCACTGCCCATGCGACGTTTGAGGTCAATAGAAATATCGCTGTCGGGTCGTTCATAGCGGACGTTCATAACACGATTTTCAAATATGACGGCCTTCAATTGGCTCTCAACCAATGTCGTGCAAGCTGTGCAAAGTTTAACATTAATTACGTTTTATGCTAGATAATGCAGGAAGTTTTACATTGTTTCTAGGTATCACAGAAACAAGACTTGTACTCGAACCTGTAAGAATAGTGCCAAAACCGAGTATGTGAATACAAGGGATCATTTTAAACTCAGGGATGAATACGCAAATACACCACGAGAAGGGGCCAAAATGAACACACCAAACGATATTTGGTTTAGCACACATCTAGCACCATCGCGGGCTACCACTCAAGAGATTGAAGAATACCAGTGAGTGTCGTCATGCAAATGCTCCATGACGCCGTCAAACAATGACATATTGAGGAGAATATTTACAACTAAGTGAAATTTTGACGTCTAGAGCATTCTTTCCACTTAAAAGTATATCGGTGGTCATATATCATAAACGAGCTTATTTCATTACATGTAATGCTTCAAGACCATTAGATGTGGAAAATTCCCTTTACATTTGGCAGTAAGCTGCATCCGTCTAAAACCGATTTTTGGAATGTGCCCCTATTTTCCCGTGACTCGAAACATGGAAATTTGCTTCCTTTCCTAGTCCCTCAGAACAATGAAGAACCCGATATTCATTTTCTCCCAGTTAAGAAGGCGCAATGGACACAGCTTCAAGGAGTCCGAATGCGTCGTTGTGGGGTCTCTCTCACCCAAATTCAGGAAATCTATTACAAAGCATCACCCATTAGCTCCCTCCCCTCCCCCTGCATCTCTCAACCCCCTGTGAGGCCAGCTTGTCAAGGACGTTCTTCATGGCAATGTACCGTTTGGATGTTGTGGTAGATGATCACCTAATTTCGTTGTTTCATATCGGTTCTGAACGTGTTTGAATACTACGCCAGACATTGCTCTTTCATCGACTTTACAAACGGTGTTCTTCTGGTTTTTGGGTCTTTAACCTTCCGGTCACGTTTGGTGGTGCCAGACATTCTGGTTCAAATGCCACCGCTCGAATTACTGGCTCTGCTTCCTCGAACCTGCACATTGGATAATCCAATGCATTACTCGAATATTTACCCAGTTCGCGTATTCACCGCCACCGGTGATTCCTGGGTTACCAGTGACGCCACATGTCGGGACGTAGGAGCAGATCTGACACTTCAAAGAAAGCTGTGTGGCCGTGAGCCGGGACGGTTATAGAAAGATACACTGTTAGGTCCAGGTACAGCCATCTGGATGATATAAGTGCCATGTTAAGTTTCGATGACTTAAACTGCTCGGAATCCGTGAGTTGCAAAGTGACAATTTTTACAACGGTTAACCCGGTTACAATGGTTGTGACAACGGTTGACAAATCAGTAAAACTCTGTCCACCACTGCATTAAATGCAGATATATAGACACACACACACACACACACACACACACACACATATATATATATATATATATATATATATATATATATATATACATATACATTGCCGTCAGCACCTAGCACCGACCGCTGTACGTATGTTGTACCATACGTTGTTAACTTGCAAAATGCGAATGCACAAGAGGCCGTGTTTGGCGTTGCCACCGTTCTCCCACGGAGATCCCTTCCTTTCAGGGCATGAATTATGTTCCGAGAACGCATCAGTCGCAGCGATGCAGTTACCACGTTTTTCCATGATGATCTGTTTCAATAGACATTTACAGAAAGGGAACAGTGCTCCATCATCCCAAGGGAGGGATTAAACGACCGAATAAGCTTGCTAACAAACCCATACCCGAGGGTAAGGAACCGATCGCTTCAGACCCTCCGCCATTTCATGCCATTTGGTCAATAACCTTGCCTTTCCAGAACATGGCAGCCTGAGATGAGGTCAAAGGTCACCAAAAATGTCCGAAAGTAAATCAGTTTGCAGACAACCCCGTGCTCCCAGCCTATGGAATCGATGACCACAAAACGCTGGCAAATCGATGCGCCACAATCAATCATTTATTCTTTCCAGACGATGGTGACCTTCGGTCCGGTCAGTTTTGGCGACCTTTGACACGACCCAAATTCGCCACGTTCTAGAGAGACAATGATTATTGATTTGTCCAGTCTGGGTTATTTTTCGGTACCATTTGAACCGAATAGAGGTCACAATGTTCCACCTCGGCAGAGTTATCGAACACGTCGCATCGTTTGGTAGAGGTTTTGAGGCAATCTATACCATATGCTCGGAGCATGGGGATGTAGGCAGCCAGTTTAGGCGGCATGTCTTTGGTGACCTCTGACTCGTCTGAAGGTCACCACGTGCTGAAAAAGGTTGTCGACGGTTGCGCATCGATTGGTGAATGCTCTATGATGATCAGTCCTAAAGGCTGAAAACATGGAGCTTCCTCGATATACTTTTCCGGTTTGAGACATCTCGACAACACTGGAAACCTTTACCCCTGCCACTGGGCACCATGCCCTGGAAGGACAGATTATCGACCAAGCGGCATCGAGTGGTGAATGTTTGGTAGCGACCCGGCACATAACCTCAGAGCACGGAGTTATCCACAAGTTTCGTCGGTCATCCGGTCCCACCTCCTCCTCGCCGCCCGCGCAAAATAGTCGCACACTGCCGCCGCCTGTTCACGCGCCAGCCAGACATCCCCTGCTAGCGCCGGTGGGCCCCGTCAATATCAATGGCTCTCCAGGATATGTCGATTCCAGAAAGCAGCTTAGCCTCACTTACCGTCTACACATCGCTCCATGCACGCCACTGATGTCGATTCCAGAAGGCAGCTTAGCCTCACTTACCGTCTACACATCGCTCCATGCACGCCACAAGCCGCATACAAATTGCTTCGCTTGACCAGCGGGGCGAAGCTGGGCAGGGATTAGGCAAATGTCGGAGCGGCGGCGATGCCACAGAACCGTCCAGCCGCCCAGACGGTCGGGCCGATGCTCGTTTTTCCTGCTTTTCAGTGAGACGGGAAAGTTAAACACGCATGATGGACGGGTAGGGTCATATGATACGCATTACTCGCGAATCTTTGCCGCTGAAGCTTCGACTCTGCGCTCCCTGCCGATTCCGAGACAGGCTAGGCCATGTAGCCTCAACTGCTGAGTGCGTCGTTAAGCCTAATCACATGACATTGGCAATCTCAGCCAGTAACCGCAGAAGACGTAGATATATAGCTTATAAGCCCGCCCCACTGGACCGAAACACGTGCCATCACTTTTGCGGAGGGACTTGTACATACCCCCCCCCCCCCCCCCTGCGAGCGTTGCGGCACATCGCACTATAACGGACTCCTCCGTACGTGGAGCGAAGTCCACCAATTTTTGTTGACGGGTGGGCACCCGCGGTATGTTCGGATATCTGGTCCCGGGACCATGGTGGTAAACAACACGTGCGACGCGCTGGCCAGTGCTCTCAATACTCCGCCTGCCATGATTTTGAGGCTGGATTGCCTTACGTTGACCTGGTACCATATCGCCAGGACAAGCACGCGGCGCCATATGACAACACCCGAATACGTCGTTAAGGTCAAATGGCTGTGCAAGATAGTTGCGCAAGTAAAATATCGTAACATGAAACTTGTATTGTTACAGCCGACACCTCATGTCCGGACAGCGGTCATCTTTTAAAATAATGTCCTCAGATTCTGCCTGGTAGCAATAAAGAAAAGGAGGAAAATTCCATTTAGGGTGCATGTCACTCAACAGATGTTCGGGCACATCGAAACCAGGTGGCTCAATCCACCTGTGAACTGCTTCGCAGCGCATCCCCAGCGTTACATGCACCACCTATTTGTGCTCATTCATCTTGCGTACGCTCCATACAAATAACCAGTGATCATCCTCGCCACAAGATCTCAGGGAGATCAAGCGCACGACTCCCCGGAGGCCAAACACTCAGTTTAACGGGCGTTGTTTATTTGGGCGTCATACATTTTTACGAGTTGGCGTTCGGGCCCTTCTTCTTCCCGAACGTCTGCACCACGGTGACGAAGCGCCGCCGGTACTGGATGCGGCGCTTGGCCCGACCCGTCTTCTTCTTGCGCTTCTCCTGCTTTTCCACCTTAGGCGTCTGTCCCTTTACCTTGCCGGCACGGGCCAGGGATCCGTGCACCTTACCTGGAACACAACGCCATCTGTTAGAAGTCGCCGACAGGCTCCATGAACATGACACACGAGTCGGGCACATCTGATGAAAGCGCTATTACGCATGCCCCGATGCGGTTTCTCCCGAAAGTATGTGTGCATCATGGCAGATGGGTGACGGTGGGGTGAAGGCCGGGGTCAACTTAACCCCTACCGAGTCCTCAGAAACTAAAAGAATTGTTTCCGCTGAATCCATGGCCTGAACTTACCTGCCGTAGGCTATCAACCTTACAACTTACATCTACATTTTTTGACACCAAACTATCCGCTTTTCAAGGGGGTGTCGAACTCCCCCCCCCCTCCATCCGAGCGCGTGTTAACATGACAGTTATTAAATCAACACAAATCATCGCGGAGACTCCGATGGCGTACAGCTGAGGTTCGTGCGGTAGTACCCAATCAACCCAGCGTTAACACGTTGGGCGCAAAATGACCGCGGCTGTCGCGCCCTTGGAGTCGTCAAATGATGTCAGTCTACATGACGCACGCGGCGTAAAACAACGAGAAAAGGACGCCGCAGCACAGTCAGGCCTACGTAAGGGTCAAATACTGCCAGACGAGGTCCAATTATGCCAACAATTCAGTATCGTTGCTCTCAACACTCCTTTATTGGAACAGGTGAGTTTCTCTTGCCTCCTTTCCAATCGCAATTTATTCAAAGCTTGATGCCACGCACTGTGACGCATGACGCGCACCAATGAAATCGGGATGACCCCAATATATCACGATTACAAAATGTTGTTAGTTTACTACTTGCATCGCGAGGTCGTTAAAATTGTCCTTAAAGGACCCTTTTCATGTATAGGACATCACTTAACTTTGCTCGTCAGTTACAACTCTCATTTTTGGCGTTTCGCTTGTAATATCATCCAAAGTAAGTCACTTGCATACACAATGTACATTACATTTGGATGATGATGAGATGAAACCAGCATTTCAGGTAACTCACTTTTCATTTCGCCGTTTTCACAGCACGTTAAAACTTAGGTGGCAAATTTCAGGGCGATCTGCGATTATATTTCGAAATCACAGCGAGCTGAGAGGCCAATACACAGCGCAGCCTTCCCGTGAACTGCACAAAGGTGCATATTTAATCCATACATTGACTAGACAGCATCTCCGCATGCATATTTTGAAACTAAAGCGCCGTTTTTTCGCTGCCCTTTCCCCACACCACGGTTGATTCCTTCCCAGGAAATCACTTGTCACGCGGTCACTTTGCGCGACTCTTCCGCCAAACGTATATGTGCAGATACCTCCAGGAGACTGTATGTGCAATTCGTGAACTAAATGCCGCACCTTCCAAAAACAAAACAAAACTGAAGCTGATTCCTTTAGTAGTATAGATGGTTAACAAGGTAGTCCCGGTAGCCTTTGGAAGGGGGGGGGGGGGGGACTCGGTTGGGAGCATATGCTGGACTTCTTCGTCGGAGGTCTGGTTTGGATTTTAGCTCGACGCTAGGACCTATGATTGCTAAAATGACCATCAGTCACTGGCGCCCCATGAAGGCGGTGATGTGTGGACCGATACCGTTTACAATAAAATACTGCACCCGTTTATCGAGACTCGGAAAATTTCGACAATTTGATGGCCTCAATACATGGCAGCTGCTTATCAGCGCTTTGAACACTTGGACAACTTGAAAAATACTGACACCCGACCCCGCGGCACAGCGAGTCAACGTGAATACCCGACCAAGACCAACAAGTCAACCAAGTCTCCCGCTACGCGCAAAGAGATCCGCCCCCCTCATTATAAAACGTTCAAACTAAGAAATAATACTATGCGTGAGAGGATATCTGAGAACCGCGAAAACGCATTTGGGCCCATTTCTAGCGCTACCTCCGCAGCTCAGCATTTACGTCCCAATCGGCAGGCGGCCGCGTGGCTGTGGGACGAGGCGCGAGCGGGCGCGACCCACCTCCCTTGAGGCCGACGTCCAGCTCGATCTCGGCCTGGATGGAGCTGATCAGCACGTCGTCCGCCAGCGTCACGCCGCCGGCGGAGAGGCGCGCCTCCTCGGCGTCCACGCCCTCCAGCGCGCAGAGCAGCGGGCGGAGCTGACCCAGCGTCTCATCGCCGCGAACTTCGACCACGTGCGGCTCCTGGCCGCGCACAAAAATCTGCATGGCTGCAGGACCTAGAAACACAGACGCTGGTCAACGGCGACGCTTGAGCAATGGTCATGCTTTTTCTGACATACTCCATTTTAAGACATCTCCTGCAGCCCTCTCCCTGCAGTTCACCCAGGACATGCAAAAAAACAAAACAACAAACAAGAAGATCCTCACCAACCCCATCTCCAGACTGGTACACTGCTATTGGTAAAATATCAATGCCACCAAAACCATTTCAGCTTTGATACATCTTGCTATTTTTGTGTTAAGACACTCACATTTTTTGCAATAAATTTTATTTTTGATATTCTGTTATGTAGAGGCCAACATATTATGCTGTTTTCTTTTAATCCTGAAGGTTAGTGGTATAAAGGCCACAATATTGATGCTTTGGTATAAATTAAAACTCTTGTATAGGCAAAGCTGTTGTGTATAAAGAAATTTTCGTTTCCCTACAGCCCTTGTTTAAACCTGTCTGGATGGATTTGGGGGATCAGAAAGGAAGGGGGGGGGGGAAGGCTGAAGTTCCCAATCTGAATAGGAAACTACATGCTGTAATAGTTGTTATCACTGTGCTCATAGTGATTTTGCTTATTTCTTTCAAGTCAATACCCACAAGTCTGATGTTAGACTTCAGAAGGCTGCAGGGGGGGGGGGGGGAGGGCACAGCATCTCTACCCACCCTACAGTTCCTATGCCCCTGATCCAGGTAGGGTGGGGAACAGCCTCTCCAATCTGCCCCCCAGTTCCTGCACCCCTGATTCCAAACTCTTCAGATTCCAAAGTACAAAATAAGACTGGTAGTTAACAACAAAATTCATGCACTCAGACAGAAATAACATAAGCATAATGCTGTTAGCCTACACTGGCTTCAGCTGCTTGTACACATATAGCAAATTGCTGCAAAGAACACCAAATGAAATAGGCCAGGCAGCACCTATAAATCCAAGTTCCTGTTGCTAAACCTTGAAGCCCCTTACCTACCAGTCTACAGATAATCTGTCTTGTCCCAAGCACAGAACCTAGGTACCCCAGTTGAGGAAGGACTGAGCCCATCCCAAACAAATAAGCTGGTCTGCCATTTTCCCAGACTGCACCAAATACATACCATGCCAAACATCCTGGCACAACATTCCAAAATTTGTCCTATAAGGTATGCAGGATGCAACCATAAACTCACACCACCATAATCCTGGCTCTCTAGCATCCCTACACATAGTTCACTGGTCCTGATCTGCTGCTCTTTGGCCCTAAAACCAGACATCTGACAAGACCCAAGCCATTTGTCAAGCCTGCATTGCTTAGTACTGGGTTGACTGCCATCCAGTTTGATGCTGGTTGGCCATTTTTGAGCAAGGGGTGAGACAACCAGCAGCCAATCCCAAGCTGGGATGCAAAAGCATGGGCAACCAAAGTGGCTGAATATTGGAACACTGTCCTGGCACGGCGGCCACATCCCACTAACAGCTTCCAGGTACAAACACTGCGAATGTGAACACTCAAAATTTGCACCGTTTCACAAATTTCAGAAAAAGAGCCAGAATTTTGAAGACTTATGAGATGCAGTTTGAGCTAAATGTACTGAGAAAATACTTATGCTAAGACACAACTGACACTCATGAACAGTTTGCCCTATCCTGACTTTGGCACAAGAGCTTGGTTCAGACTCAGGGCATGGATGAAGGCATGGCACAGATGACAGGATGCAACGATATGCCTTGTACTGCAGTAGATGGATTTTCACATACTAAACCAGGAGGGTCCTGACATCTCCACGTGGTGAATGCTCCTAACCTTCACAACAAATTTGGCCATGACATGATTCAGTCTAAATGCACAAGCTTGTAGCTTGATTTGGCATGTGAAAAATGAAGCATAACCTTGTATATTAACATGGAAATAAGTGGGGGGCATATGAGGAATTACTTCATAATGGGTGACCACCACTTGACCATGATGCCATAACACGCATTGTTGGTCAGAGTAGGCCAGCTGATCACATCAGGATGCGTGAGCAAAGAAGCACCAAATGGAATGCATAAGATTTTCAGTCATTAAAGCTCTCTTATGCATATCAAATGGCCCATTCGGAGTCCTCCATACAACCTTGGACTTCAGCCCGTGACAATATCGTCCAATATTCGGAGCGGCAGGCAAATAAGGCGCACACAAACAACACCCATTCAGGTAAGCAGACAGACGGCACATCAATCTGGCCAGTATGGAATGACTCATAATTATTTTCTTCTTCAACTGATAGCAAAATGCGGCACAATGGAGGCATATTTCGTGCGAACAAACGCGATTCTAAGCCATACAGCCACTTGCCTGAAGAAACAGGATATAGAGGGAGTAGTGCAGAATGATGCACAATAATCAACAAACTAACAACATCCATCATTTTCTCACTAAATAAGCAACTTTCGGTTATAAGTAGATTCATATCACGATTAAATATTTAAACTAGTATCAACTTACTAATTCATCCACGGTCTTAAGAAAATACTGAAGAGAAACAAAATGCTTCTCTATATCAAGATAAGTTCAAGTTAAAAATAGCGCAATACTGGCTTAAAATAAAAATTTGCAACATTTCTCATTAAAATGGCAGAAAAACCAGTAGTTAAAATATTCTTACGCTTTGAATACGTTTGATTCCTGTTTCTTTTGAAAAAAGGGTTCTAGAAAACATTACTTCTTGATACCTGTGACGTTTTACCACTTCAAAAACGGCCTATTCACGACATATGTTCCGCGAATTTGTCTGCGAATTTTGCACGTGCGAATTTTTCTCGCACGTGCTTCTGTTCACACGGCAGGAATCGTATGCGCGTAGGTACTATTGTAACTCGGCGCAAGTCGCACGTCGTCGGGTGAACAGCTTGTGTGGATAGCCCAGTTTCATGTAATTGTGTTGGTAGATACACTGTAAAAACCTTGGTTAGGCACCGCGACCGGTTGGATTAGTTCATCCACGATATTCGCCGCCCGTCGCACATGGTTAATGTTGTCTAAACCTCCTGATGTGAACATTACTACCCAAAAATGTTCCTGGTGTTCATATATTTTTTATGTCATCTTGCACATCATGGGCACTGACAGCATAGTGGCTAGGTATGTGTAACTGGAGGTATAGTGTGTGATTCCCTGAGGTCCAGACTACAATGAATACTCTATATCAGATATGTCTGGCATAACAGCACCATTCTGGCAGCAATTTAAGCACATGTATGAGGTAGACCAGGGAAAGCTGATTTAAGCACATGATCACAATCATTTACAGCACACAGAGAGCCAGTGGTGATGCTGCTAGGGTGATTTCAGACAAATATACCCCAAACTTTTGAAACATTAATTAGTTGCTTTTTGGGTCAGTCTCACCTGGCATCAGTTCAGCGCATTTATGCTCCACATTGAGCATGCCAAAGTCATCTGTCATATTGAATGGACATTTTGCAGACTGGCCACTGGCTGGTGGCCAGACTGCCAAAAAATCCATGTTGCACAAGAGAGAACTGGTAGACATAGCAGTAACATCCAGCCAACTCACTCTGGTCCAGTAGTAAGTATTGAACATATAATTCCAGCAACATGGAGAGGTAATGCTAATAGGAGTTGTGATGCTGAGAAGGAGTTTTTACACAAAATTACCATTAAAGACTTTTTGTGCTGAAATAATTAACAACCTCAGTCTGATCTGTGCTAGCTTGTGGTAGGTACTCACAAGGGTGGTAGCCCAGAAAGGTTATAGGAGTCTGTCTGGCATAGTAGATGCATTGTTTCCAGGCTTGGTCAGTGGTGCCATCTCTGGAATGGTGAGAGGCAGACAGCACCAGATGGCATCAGCAGCTGAGTGTATCGTAAATTCATGACGACAAGTGTATTGTTCTCCTTCCTTGGACCTGTTTCACCTTCAGTAAATTGGTGATTAACTTCTTTGTGATGCTGACTATAACAGGTATAGTGATTAATTGGTCACAAAGTTAATCTTGTTAACTTTAAAAGTTCTGTGAAGACATATTATACGTGTCATGCAATATTTGGCTTAAAGTTTTTTTTCTTTTGCTTACAAATAATGTTTGTAGAAGCTCTGCTCATTTATATGTCGCTGGGTGAATATGTCTCCTAAGGGAACATCCATTGAAAACCATTTTCTTTGACATGACATGACCATGTTCTACCACTCATTTCATAAAGTGAAGTCTAATGGTGTGCTTGGATTTGTTTCAGCAATCCTAGGTGCTATCAAATGGCCAATTGATACAATAGCAACTGATGGTGTTGATAATGTCTCCAGTGCCATGGTGCTCAAGGTAAATATTGTCATGGATGCTGTGCTGCAAAGTAGTGTTTTGGGTTCAGTTGAAGACACTGCTTTTCATATAAAAACTGCTCTTTGATTGGCACCAGCTGCACTCATGCACAGCTGAGCAGGCTCAAGTCTGAGCCATCCTTGGATCCATCTGGACCAAGCCTAACATGCTCTCTGTCTGCCCCATCCATTCCCATTCTGCCCCATCCAGTGTCCTGGTCCATGCTCTGTGCTGCCCCATTTTGGGTCAAACCCAACTCTGCCTAGTCAAGCCCTGGCTTGCCCTGTCCTGCCAACTGCCCAAGGACACTTGCACTGTCCCATCTCCTGCTGTTTTCTGTTTTCTGGCTTCTTGCCCATGCTGTGCTCTGTCCTCTGTGTGATGTTCCAGTCTTTGTGCTATCTGTCATGCTGTCCACTGTCCTGTTCTGTCTTGTGTTCTGCCATCTGTCATCTGCACTTCCATGCCATGCTTAATAGCTGCCTTGTTTTGTCCTGTTGGGGGTAGCACACAGCAGGCATCATGCAAAGCCAGGCTTCTGCCTGGCAAGCTGAATCAGATGACAAGGCAGTGATATGGCACTGAAATGGAAGCTGATGCTGGAGGCTTCAAAGTTTCGGACTACGAAGCCGGATCCGACACCAGTGACTTGGTCTTTTTTTCCTTGAATATGCGGAAACGAGGCCGAAGTCAACGGCTTCTAACTAATGAATGTGAGGCGGTAGTCGAGAATCAATCAGTTTAAGGTCATGAGGCCGAAACTAAAGCCTTGTAACACGAAACGTTGTTTGCAAAACCAAAAGTACTTCCGCGTCTGCTAAAACTGCATACGATCGGCAAATGTCATCAAAGCGCAACAGAGTGATTAAGGCGAGGCGAGGCGAAGTATTGCGGATAGAATGTTTCTCATGCTATTGTCTTGGTCTCGTGGTATTATGTGCACAACGTTTCGAGCACTTTGTTCTCCTACGTCGTCAGGTGTTATTGAGTGCTAAGAATGCCCAGCTGATCTGAGACTTGCAGCCACGTCTTGGTCGCAACCTTGAAACGTGGTATGAGTTATGAAGGTGTCAGGAAGAGCAAGTCCGTAGTTTTTTTTGTAAGCAAGCTGTAACTGTAATGAAAGTAAACCCCCATGGCAAACCCGAAGATGGCAGTTCAAAGTTTCATGGAGTCACTTCTCAAGAGTTGTTCGAGTTGAAGCGGTAGTCCGCTATGAAGAATGGCACAAAGCCGAAGCCTAAGTCAATCGTTTGTCATGCCACGAAAGGGAAGCTGACTAGCCGTGCACAGTGGGCTCAAAACCTAACCTGAAGTCATTGCAGGAAAATTGTGATGTCACAAAGCGGAAGCCAAAGGTGATGTTGGCTTCATCTCCATGCGTGGTGCACAGCACGGCCCTGCCCCTGATATCTTGTATCATATATTGCATAGGTCGGACTGTGCTATTGGCTTTGCTGGTGTGATACTTGGCTATGGCTGGCGGCGTTATGCCAGGAATTATGCAGGATATTTTCACATACAAATATCTCGTGTGTCGTCTTAACTTCTACACCAACGGCTTCTAACGCCTGTAGGGAAGAGCTCATTCTATTCGCGGGTCTGAGAGGTCCATGAAGTTGTGGGTCTAGCGCAACAATACACCCTGGTAAAATGTGACGCTACTCACTGTCATGCGGTGCGCGTAGCACGTGCATGCGTGTCCCATAGGTAATGCGTGGTAAAGTCTTCAAAAGAGCGATTCTTTCAGTCTGATATTTTTTTTTTTGACTTTGAAAAGTATCGAAGGATCCAAAATGCGCCATTCAATCCCACATCCAGGTAAGTTCCATATCAGCTGCTGGCCATTCATTGCGGGTTGACCGCCGACGGCGCGTTTGTCTGACCCTACTTCAGATACGGGAATCTCATGTGCGTCACTCAGATGTTAAGCTCCGATGTTTACCGTGGGGACGGCCGGACGAGCTGCCGAAATTCTGCGCTGTTTGAGTTCGTGATGGCCCAGTCGGACCTCGCTCATATTCTTTAAATCTAATCGCCATGTTTCTTTTCAGTGACGAATGGCAAAAGCTGAGGGCTCTGGTGTGCAGCATACAGGAAGACTCCACTAACACGGCCAAACTTCGGCTAACAATCAGCATTCTGAGATGCCTGATGTCGAGGTACTGGTCACTGCTTTCATATTTTGCACAGTACGGCCGATACATGGATGGAGCCGGTGTGGGTGCATTCTTAGCTCAGCTGTGGCTTGTGTGTGCATAATTATGTCACTGCCCCATGATCTATCACCCCATCTGCCAGTGCATAAAATGCACGTACAAATTTTTGCGTGTATCGCAACTTTAGACATTCTCGACGGATGAAACATGCCTGCCTGTGGACGCGAACGAGGATGAATAATACCTGTAGTACAATTGATTGCAAGTGGACGCATGCGACTGACAGCATCTCAGCGACAACGTTGGTCACAACACTAGGTTCCAACATCGCTGATGAACACGTGCGACTGGTAGCTTCTGGTGCCACAAGGGTCGTCACAACACTAAGTCCCAACATTTCCCCCCCCCCCCCCGCTAACGAACTGGCAGACATGTTTTTCCGTTACCTTCATTATCTGCGGCACGTGAACCGCTTCTGTTTGGGAAACGACCAACCTATATGACACTGCCAGTTGCGTCTTCGTCAACTGCGTTTTCGTCCAATTGCGTTTGCGTCCAATTGCGTTTGTGTCTGATTGCTTCTGGGCACATGTCATTGATTGGTACGTTGCAGATTGCCGTCGCCACCGATTGGTGCTCTGATGACGTCAGAGCTTCTGCAGGCGTTTCTGTCAGTCGCTGGCGACACCGACGTCGCCACGCGTGATGGAAGATCGCAGATGGCGTTCGCCATTATCAGGTATTCCGAATAGATTTCCTCTCCCATTAAACTGTTGATTGGCCTCCGTCGTGTTCCTTTTTTAACATTCAGCATGCAATGCAGTTTTTGCCCGGGCAGGAACTGGTATCATGAAGTAATAAAAGCAATCTACCCACCTTTATCTTCGAGGCATCACACACGGATTGTGAAGCTATTGAGTTGACCGGCGCACATTACTCACCAGTTATTAACTTCGTTTTCGGTCATGTGATTGGCGCGATTTAGAAAGGGCGTAAGATTTGGTTGTGCTCTCGGAAACTTGCCTCATTGTTTTCGTGCGCGTGGTTGAGCTGGATTTCGCTTGGCACATAGACCAACGTTCCATCGCAGACCACCGATCCTGGCGGCGAGCACTGTCACATGAAGCCGCACAAAAACAACGGCAGTAATACACGACAGCCTTCGACGCTTGGAAAGCCCAGGTGTCGAGACATTTCTCGTCCTTTAACTAAACTGGCTCCCGTCCACTCCGACAGGTTCGTCAACTACGTGAGCCACGCATTCCAGGAACCGGACAAGTTCGGCGTGCTACCGCTGCACAAGATGGCCGCCCGGCAGAACGTGCCCGACTGGCTGGTGACGCTGCGGCACGACGCGTCGCACGGCGCCCTGCCGCCGGCGCACCTGCTCGGCTGCGCCATGAGCGCCGCCCTCCGCTGGGTCGTCGTGAGTCGGGCGGCGGTGTCGTGACCGTCGGGGTGGGCCATCACTCATCATATGCGACTGTCCCCGTTTTGAGCTGCGCTGTCAGGCGGCACACCGCAGTAAGTCGCCGCACTGGGCCCGGTTGGCGCATGCGCAATGCCTCTTCTTCCCCCACACATTCAGCACGCCGCCTCGGCGTGAGGCCCACTGTCTGCGCCTGCGGCTGCAGGCCGAGTACTGGACGGAGCGGGACCCGGCCGCCGAACCGGAGCCGGAGCCGGAGCCGGGCTCGGGCCGCGTGCCGTCGCCGGAGGCGGCTGCCGTGCCCCTGCGGCGCCTGGAGGCGATGCTGCGCGGCTCGCGAGGCCGCCACGTCAGCCGGACGCTGCTGCGCACCTGTCTCGCTGGCGAGCCGCTGCGCCGGCCGGCGCTGCAGACCATCGCCCGTGCCATGGTCGCCTCGGTGCCGCAGGACAAAGGTCAGGCGCCCTGCCCGCGCACACCGGCCTGGTGGTGCTGTAGCGTGCGAGCAACGTGCCGTGGCGAAAACTATCCCATTTTCCGTTGAATCGGGTCAGTTCAGGACTTCTGGTTTCACAACTGCTTCAACTGATCTGCGGTGGCGTTAGTAATGTGGCGTATTCGTTGACTTCATGCCAACTGGGCACTCTCCCAGCGCCGCTCTGTTTCCCTGGCCATAGTAAGATCGTAGCCGTTGGTTTTCACCAGCTACCGGCGCTGGGGTTTAGCGGGTGGCAGGCATGTGGCGGCGCTCATGCCGGCGGTGCGCCGCGACAGGCGCCACCCTCAAGCGGCGCCCCTCACTGGGGACCTCTGTGGGCGGCAGGGGAGCCGATGTCGGCGGCGCTGCTGCAGTCCTGGCTGTCGACGCTGACGGCCGTCAGCCACTGCCGGCTGCTGACGGAGCTGCTGACGACGCTGCTGAGCTGGCCGGAGGCGGACGACGCCGGCCAGCAGCAGAACGCAGCAGCACTCTGGGTTCAGCATGTCGTCCTGGCCTCCCAGCAGGCAGCCAACCAGGTGACCTCTCCACATTGGCTGGACGTGTGGCACCCCACATCCACCAGCGGTCCGGCACCCACATCCACCAGTGGTTCGGCAACCCTCATCCACCAAAAGTCCGGTACCCCACGCCCACCAACAGTCAGGCACCCCTCAGCCACCAGAGGTCCGGCATCCCACATCCACCAGACGTCCGGCACCCACATCCACCAGCAGTCTGGCAACCCTCATCCACCAGAGGATCCGGCATCCCACATCCACCAGCAGAACGGCACCCCTCATCTGCCAGAGGTCTGGCACCCCACATCCATCAGCAGTCCGGCACCTCTCATTCACCAGAGGTCCGGCACCATTATCCACCAGCGGTCCGGTACCCCTCACCCACCAGAGGTCCGGTACTCCACGCGTGGCCGAGAGTCCGACACCCTTAGCCGCCAGACACTGGACGTCTCACCTGCTGGACAGCAGCGTCTCGCGCCTGAAGCGGCGAACCTGTGTTGGTTTTTGCGAATGCATGCCACTGTTATCTCCAGCACACCGCTGGCCTCCCGTGAGCCCTCGAGACTGGACGGAGTGGACCCCATCGCGCCGACGGACGCACCTGGTGGTTGTGTGGCCATGTAATCCTCCCTGGTGCGGTGTGACGGACCCCAGCCCCCGCACCGCGCAGCACCAGCGGGGCTCGCGCGTAAGCCCAGTAACCGTGCCGCCAGTCGGACGCCGGCCGACCGGACGGGCCTGTGGCCGCACAAGGCCCCAACGGCTGCGCGTGGCGCCATCTGCCGGACCTGGCCGACCAGGCCCGACACGTGGACTGGGACCGCCTGGTGCGGGTGGCGCTCCGACGCAAGAACAGGACCACCAGCCGGGTCCTGCCCTGGTGAGGCTTACGGCTAGGCTGTGGTGGTGGAGCTGTGTGGAGCCGGCTCCTGGGTGATGGGATGGGTCACAGTCAGACACAGTCACCGACCAGCCAGCACCAGCGAAGGTAGCCGTGGCTGCGGGGTGACGATGTTGATTTGGAGTTGGGGCGCTGTGACTTCCTTTCCGCCTTATCCCAATACTAAGTGCCGTCGTGAGGGTGCGAACTGCAGAATTTGCACCTAGGTTACACGGCAAGAACGTCAGGACGCTGTCATATGAATTTCATCGTTTCTGGCCAGACTGCCCAGCGTTGGCTGTTTTTCCCACTGGAAATTGTGATCGGCAGCTGTGAATTATGAAACTTGCATCAAATTTTAAAGCACTGAAGGCTGAACAGCACTGCCACGTAGGACGATGAATCGCAACTGTCCCCCTGACCCTCCCGCCCGGTCGGGCCGGTGCGGCGCAGGCTGCTGGACGGTCTGACGCCCCCGCTGCCTGAGCGCCGCCGCCGACTCCTCTGCCAGCTGGTGGACATCGCCAATGGCATGCAGCCGGCGCCGCGCGCGCCGCTCAAGGTCGACGAGCGGCAGCTCCGCCGGCTCGGTCTCGCGTTGCCCGCTGCCGCTGATCCGCCCGCCGCCGCGTCACCTGCCGACGCGCCGCCCGCCGACACGCCGCCAGCGCCGTCTGCCGGCGCGCCGGTGGCGCCGTCTACACGCGCGGCCGGACCCGGCTGGCGCCACTGTGGTGATGGTGAGTGCGCGGCTCGTGGTGAGAGCGTGTCAGGTGGACGCTGTGTGCGATGGTGAGTGGCTACCGCCGGGACTGCATGCGGCTGTGAGTGTACAGTGATACGGCCCAGGACATGGTCTGTTGGCCGTGGCTGTGAATACTCGCCATCTGGTGTTTGCATGCCAATTGTGGTTTCCAACATTATGCGATAGGACTGCTGATACGTGACATCGGCAAATCTGGGAACGTTGGGTCACGTGACCGGATTGAGCGGGAGCACGGAAATAGGCACATTGCGTTGACGATGTAGAGCGGACGTCGGGCAGCCGGCCGTAACGAACACCAGAAAAGGTGTACTATTCTTAACCTCCGTCGCGCGTAATGACACTTGGTCCGCCGCTGGTCCGCTCCGAGAGTTAATGCTGGTCGACCCACGTATTCTGCATAGTCAATGACTATGACTATGCAGAATACCCATCGGCTTTGTAGTTCAGCAGTTTGCTGCCTGGCATGCGCTTGCATCGTCTACGTGGATTGCATTAATTTCTTCTCACTGATGTATTGCAATTTCGGATTCGGAGGCCTGCTATGAGTAAGAGGCCCAGGAGCACACAAACGATTTATCAATATAGTTTTAAAGTAGCCTCAGCGAGTATTTCCAGAGCAATCGACCGCGTTTCTTTGGTTTAGGCCGGTTGTAGTATATCAAGCAGGCATAGTTTTTCACTTTGTTCATTGAACCACGTCTAGGGTTTGCACTAGACCATGTACCTCCTGACTGTGCCCAGCGCGTTCATTTGTGTTCTCGGCGAGCGGCTTACTGAGCTGCTCTGGCGTCGCTCATTTGAGTTGTCGGGGAACGGCTTACTGAGCTGCTCTGGCGTCGCTCATTTGTGTTGCTCATTTGTGTTCTCGGCGGCCGGCTGACTGAGCTGCTCTGGCGTCGCTCATTTGTGTTCTTGGAGAGCGGCTGACTGAGCTGCTCTGGCGTCGCTCATTTGAGTCCTCGGGGAGCGGCTGAGTGAGCTGCTCTGGCGTCGCCCGCCGGCGGCGCGCGGCAGTCTGATGGGCCCAGCTCTCGGGAGGCGGTCGCTGGACCGGTGGTGAGGCCTGCGCGCTTGAGTCCGCTCAGCAGGCGGCGGTCGGCACCGATGATGGCTCTAAGAGCGAGCACTTTTGAATATGCGCTGGGAACACCGTCCCACGCCCGGCTTTGAACCGCGCGGTGGTGAGTTGCCACTGGTTGACGGGTTTCGGGTGCGTGCGATCGCGCCACAGCGTGTTCAGGATGGCGACACCAGAAAGGAGCTGGTGATCGGTTTGGCAAGTAGTTATTTACATGGAACCCGCGGAGACATTCACGGAGATCTGGGCCGGTTCGTATGGATCTGATGAATGCGGGCTTATCGCCTTATTTTACGTACAGAACAAGTTTTTTCTAGCTTGCAGAGAGACTGATTGCTTTTTCGCCCTTTCGGTCGCATGCCTTTTTACTCCCGTTCTTCCTCTCTCGTTTTCGCTCTCGTTCCCGCTCATTTGCTCTCGTTCTCACTCATTCGCTCTGTCTCGCTCCCGTTCTCGCTCCCGCTGTGTTTCTCTCGCTCCCGCTCTCTCGCTCCCGCTCTCTTTCTCTCGCTCCCGCTCTCTTTCTCTCGCTCCCGCTCTCTTTCTCTCGCTCCCGCTGTCTTTCTCTCGCTCCCGCTGTCTTTCTCTCGCTCCCGCTTTCTTTCTCTCGCTCCCGCTCTCTTTCTCTCGCTCCCGCTCTCTTTCTCTCGCTCCCGCTCTCTTTTTCTCTCTCTCTCTCGCTCGCTGCTCTCTCTCTCTCGCTCGCTGCTCTCTCTCTCTCGCTCGCTGCTCTCTCTCTCTCGCTCGCTGCTCTCTCTCTCTCGCTCGCTGCTCTCTCTCTCTCGCTCGCTGCTCTCTCTCTCTCGCTCGCTGCTCTCTCTCTTCGCTCGCTCTCTTCTTCTCGCTCGCTGCTCTTCTCTCTCGCTCGCTGCTCTTTCTCTCGCTCGCTGCTCTCTCTCTCTCGCTCGCTGCTCTCTCTCTCTCTCTCTCGCTCGCTGCTCTCTCTCTCTCGCTCGCTGCTCTCTCTCTCTCGCTCGCTGCCCTCTCTCTCTCGCTCGCTGCTCTCTCTCTCTCGCTCGCTCTCTTCTTCTCGCTCTGCTCTATCTCTCTCGCTCTGCTCTCTCTTCTCGCTCGCTCTCTCCTCTCTCTCTATCTCTCTCTCTCTCTCTCTCTCTCTCTCTTCTGTCTCTCTTCTCTCTCTCTCTCTCTTCTCTCTCTCTCTCTCTTCTCTCTCTCTCTCTCTCCTTCTCTCTCTCTCTTCTCTCTCGCTCTCTTCTCTCTATCTATCTCGCTCTCTCTCCTCTCTCTCTCTCTCCTCTCGCTTCTCTCTCGCTCTCCTATCTACGCTCTCTCCCTCTCTCTCTCTCTCTCCCTCTCTCCCGCGTGTCGTGCCTGCGCGTTCTGCAAACACGGTTTGTTGCGAGAGTGGCCTCGCCGCGGTGGTCGGCGGTGAATGAGATTGCCGCTGGTTATCGCCTCGGCCCCTGACTGAGACTGTCCCTCCGTCCATCGCTCCCTACTGGCCCATCTTCCTCCAGGACAGACGACGGTGATGCGCCTGTAGACGACCGACACACCGCGTGTTTAGAATCAGCGTCCATGGCTTGCAAGTGCGGCATTAACATTTCGTTCGAGCTCTTGAGGATATGACCAGAGTGCCTCTAACTGCCATCCCAGCTGTTATGCATCCCATCGTCGTCCGCCAGTCGGAGTTTAGAACCTGGTTTTCCCTCGTTGTGGTTCACGAATGCCAGCTTTTCAATCGGGAAAATGGGGCCAAAGCTGTCCCGCCAGCGTCACCTCCATCACCAATACCATCGTCACCGTCAGCGCTCACAAAAGTGACGGGAAGGGCTGCTGGCACGGTGGAGCGCCCTGAGGTAACAGGTTCCCCGAGAGTCCCATCGGGTGTGCCTGTCTACCGGTGATAATGCAAATAATGCCGGTGATGGCGAAGTGACACCGACGTGGAACTTTGATGAAGTTATTCGATTGTGGCATCCGCGGGCACATAATACAGTTTTTTTTTACTGACATTTTCTTTCGGGTACGTGTTGGTTCTCATCACCCTGACGGGTATCCGCAGGAAACTGGTGTGCCTCAGGGCAGCGTTTAAGTGTCATTCTTTTCGCAGTGATGATAAACGGCATAGGGGATACACTCTCACTTGGGATCAGCCGTTCGCTGTTCTTAGACGACTTTGCTGTTTGGTGTAGCTCATCGACCACTCGCACAAAAAGGTGACAGTGCAGCTGGCTGTCACACGTCTGGGGAAGTGGAGTGTGCTCAACGTGTTCCGGTTTTCCACATCGAAGACGACTGCAGTTCATTTCTGTCGTCGTCGTTGTCACTGAAATGGAAATCAGGCTGTATGGGCAACACGTCGCCATTGAGAATATCGTGAAATTTCTCGGTATACGATATGACCGACGCCTAACATACCGGGAGCGCATAAGAAATGTCCGCGACACATGTTTAAAATCCCTTAGCATCCTAAGGTGCGTGGGACGTACATCATACGGTGCTGACAGGGGGACGCTCTTACTCCTGTACCGTTCTCCGATTTCGTTCATAACTTGACTGGGCTGTTTTATCTTTGGCGGTACATCAGACCTGATTAAACATACTTTGAACACGGTGCACTACGCCGAGCAACGTATCGCCATAGGGGCTTTTCGAACATCGCCCATCGATGGTTTCCGGGTGAAGGCTCACGAGCCCTCACTAGCATTGCGAAGGCAGATGCTGGGACTGCGCTACACGTGCAAGCTGGCGCAGTTCCCATACCATCCTACCTTCAAAGCAGTGTTTTCGCGTGGCTTACGAAGGCTGCTTCTACGTCAACGGTCACCACAAGCTTCTCCCTTTTGCGTACGAACGCGAGAACCTCTAGACGCGAGCGGCTTCAACCTAGACGTGTCGTCAGACCTAAACTTATGAAGACTGCTGTTTTGGAGCTAGCATCGCCAAGAGTGGATATTTCGCTATCAAGCATGCAAAAGCAACGCGTTCTCGTGACGGAACTTAAAGACGCAGCTTTAGAGCACATAGCCTGCTTTGACGGATACGTGATGACTTATAAGCATGGTTCGAAGACGGATGTAGGTGCAGGGTGCGCTTTTGTGTGTGGTTCCACAACACGGTCATTCACACTGCCGGCGTACGCGTCTGTCTTCACTTTCGAGCTTATAGCCATCAACAAAGCTCTCTGTTTTATTGA